AGCTGATCAAAACAGCACTGGGGCCAAATACAAACCACCTTGGTTTCCACCTCAATGATGCTATGCGCCCAAAAATTGCACAAAAGGACTTCACGCATGTTAAATGTTATAGGTATGTGAAATATAGCAGATAGGGGATTACTTTTCTAATGCTCAACTTACATACAGGTAATAATATTCTAATTGAAAGGAATTATAAAACATTGTCTAGAAAGAGAAACCCTATTAGTTTACCGCTTCTATGAGCCACTGTGAAATTAACTGACTGCAGTTGTAAACAGCTTATTAATTTTTGTTTGTTTTCCATGTCAGAGCCCTATGACTTCTAACAGTATATGTATTCTTCAAGAGAAAATTTAGAAACACTATAAGGCCAAACTACAGACTGCTAAGGCAAGAGGGTGAAATGGACTAAGAGGATTTAGAAACCTGTTTATCTCAGGGAGCTATCTATAATCCATCATCTAGCAAAACATGTACAAGTGAAGTATGTGACAGTTATATTAACAGCATTGTTTAAAAATTCCCCCAAATAAACACCATATATTGGTGAGAACTATATTGGTGATAGACTCTAAAATTTCCTAGTAAGTGGAGGAGAGGGGGTATGACAGAAGATACAATTTGTATACTGACACAATAAAAATCTTAAAGTACATATTTCAGTCAAAGTTGAATGAGTACATTCCCATTTTCACTGAATTGTTTCTAAAACAATACATTTTACTTTTCTTTTTGTAGTGGTGGTGATCAAACCAGTCCTCCAGCATCACTCTGCCACTGAGCTTTGCACTGTATCTCCATCCCATTTTATACTTTTGAAGTAATTGTGTATCCTTATAAATTATTTCCCAAATTAGGAATCAGGAGATCGTTTTTTCTACAGATAACTTTTGGGCACTTTTCAGAGAAGCCCAAGGACTGTGATTTATAAAGCTCAATGTCCATACAAATGGAGCCAAGTCTTTTTCTTGTTGATGTGTATCCACAACTCACCATGCACCTCAGTAGCAACTGCCCACCTCCTCCAGGAACCTTTCCATTTCACATATAAATAAGCTTCAGGGGGACACAACTGCCTAAACTACCCTGATTACTAGGGTTATATTATGAATTTGTGGCCTACGCTGTGGGCAAAAGTGACTTTTAGGCTATGCCTTTTCAAAGGGAGTTATTTCTTTCCTCCTCCCTTTTGTCTAGAAGATGACTGTGGACTACCGTACTGGTTGAACAAGGCAGAATATCAAAACGTCAAGTCGCCGATAAATGTGGGCTGAACATTCCAACCAAGGACCATTCTACAGGCTTTTATGTGAGAAATAAATACATTATATTACTATTATTTTTGGTGGTACTGAGATCTAACCTATAGGTACTCTTCTACTGAGCTAGACCCCAGACCTTTTAAAAAAAATTTTGTCTTGGACCGCGTGTGTGGTGCATGCCTGTAACCCCAGCATTCAGAGTCTAAGACAGGAGGACCACTGAGTTCAAGGTCAGCCTGGTCTACACACTGAGTTCAAGGCCAGCCTAAACTATATGGTGAGACCCTGTCTCAAAAGCAAAAAAAAAGAAAGAAAAAGAAAATAATATGTGATGGGACAAGGTCTCACTTAGCTGCCTTCCTTTCAAAGAGTTCTGTGTTAAGATAAGGCCTTGAGCTTGCCATCCTCCTGCCTCAGCCTCCCAAAACCTGGGATTATAAGCATGTACCATTGTGCTCAGCTTCAATGTTTGTTATTTTTAAGTCACATTATTCTGTTTTTCTGTTGTTACAGCCATTTATTTTTATACTAGACACCCCCCCAGGAATTTATCCTAATATTTTAACTGTCTCATTTTTAAGCTAGGCTCATCAAGACAACCAAAAAATTAATCTGCCTGTATTAAGCTTTAAATTAGAAGACTGAGTAGAAGTACTTCAGATACCTTAGTTTCTTATTTACCTCCTTGGTTTCTGAGTAGCATATCTGAAACAGAATAGTCTCGCCCTTGTTGACTACAACCTTGTCTTCTGTTATTTCTTTTATACAAATAAAATATAACATTTTAAATATTGTGAAACTAAAATGTACTACTAAATGACTAAAGTTTAAACACAATTCAGAAGGAAAAGATCTAGTAGGAATCAATGACTGCAATAAACTATAAAATAATCCTTAGAAATAATATTCCACTTCAAAAAGATTGCTAGCAATTTTAACATTCCAAATTGATTTTAGTAAACCATACTGGTATGTCTTAAGTTTAATGTCTCTTTCATCACCCAAATTGTCGCATAAATGTTTATAGATTAATGATGATGGATAAATTAATGGCAAGGAGAAAGAAAAAATATGAAAATTAGAGTATCAGATTTGTGTGGTTAAATCTAGGACTTTAGCAAGAGATACATCCCCAGACAGTTAATGTCTTGAGACAAGATCTTGCCAACATGAAAATATTGCCCTGCCTGTACTCAAACTTGTGTTCCTCCTACCTCAGCCTCCTAGAGTGGGTGGGGGGTGCGGTGGTGGAACCAGGGCTTTGCACATGTTAGGCAAGCGCTCTACCACTGAGCTACAACCACAGCACCTCAGCTTTCCTTCTAAAGAGATTTTTAGAAATTAGTAGAAAACTGATTTATGGGTAAAAGGCACAAACCAAAAACTAATTTAAGGATTTTAACTCTTCTGGATTACTTGAATATCTATATATTTAGTCGATATGCGTATTTCTTGGATACATAAAGATAATAAGATTTTCCTTCAATTTTTAACTTTGACCTTCATAGATCATATAGTTACTGCTTCCAGTTTTGGTTTATTTTTTCAAAAGTATACATTATTCTTTCAGATATTCTCACATTCCTCTTCTGGTCAGGCTTTGACCAAGTAACTATGTGTTAGATGATGAGGGAAAATCAAATGGTCTAATTATTTCCTACTGTAAGAGATATAATATATTTTATATGGTTCATAGAACAGTATGTACCAGATCACTAAACTGTCAGGCCAATCATAACAGAACCAAGAGTTCCACACAAAACATCTACCCTACAGTAACATAACCTTAGAAGCATTTAAGTTGCTTGAAACTTAACAATTTTCAACTACACAGAGACAACCTGTCTAAAAAAAAAAAAAAAAAAAGATTTTTCTACATAGATGTTCAAGAAATGATCCACTGGCAGAAAGTAAAGCTGATTAAAAGATTAAGAAGCATAAGATGTTTTATGTTTTAGAGTGTGCCTAAGTGTAGAAACATCTCAAGGCAGAAATCAAAAGTCACAAAGAAAATATGAAATTGCAAAAAATATTTCAATTTTTTAAATTGTTCTTTGAGGGGCCATCTGGTTGGTTAGGCAAGAGGGAGTTAAGATGAACACAAAGAGAAACACGGAACTCTCATGTTCTATATTGTTCTCCATATATTTTGTTCTTTTACAACTGGAAAAGGGCAGATATGAAACTAAAATGAAACAGCAATGCTAAAAGCACACAAGTAGTAAGTATGTGCGTTATCCTACTTACATACACTTTAAACCACAATGGTTTAACTTTCTAAATAATGACAAACCAAAAAGTCATCAGGAACAGAAAGAATTCAGTTTTTCACATAACTTTTATATTGTGCTTACTATCTTCCAGGCACTGCTGAAATGTAATTGCTATTTAAGTCTACACCTCTAATCCACAGTTACACAGTTCCTCTGGAAGCCTAAGCTGTATGCTTGGCACAGGAGAGAGAAATATGCAAGCTCACTGGTGGCAAAACATAACCTCAAGTTAAGCTGGGAATGGCGGCACACACCTGTAATCTCGGCAGTTAAGCAGGCTGAGGCAGAAAGGGTTGCCATGAGTTCCATGAGAGGATGAGCTATAAAGTGAGACTTTGTCTCAAAAAAGACATAATTTGTAGTAGTGTGAAATACAGTGGGCCCTCAAGTTATGACCAGCCCAACATACAAACAATTTGGGCTAATTAGGTTGTTAGATTCATCTGCCTCTTATTATCTATAGTGTGTATCCAGGTAAACATCCAGATCTCAGCTGTATTGACTTACAACCAACTTGAGTTATAATAAGCCCTAAGAAATCAATTGAGTTTTTAAGTCAAGGGTCCACTGTACTTTATAGTTTAAATGTATCTCACAGTGTAATGGTTCACATTTAATCGCATACTGATATGCTTCTTAATTACTAGGTGCTTCCTTAGAACTCACTACATTACCTATCTACTGTTATCTCTTAAAATCTGAAGGCTTCTGAAGCACATCTATCCCCAAAGATTTCAGATAAGGGACTGTGGATCTGTATCAATTAAACTGTCTATTCCACAATCATATAAGACAAACTAATTTGCGACTGAGAAACTAGGGGCTATGGTGAAAACAGCTTTTAAGTGTTAGGGCTTGTTAAATAAACTCAAGCAGCTCAGAGCCTGGCCTCCTAACCATTACATTATGAAGCCTTTTCTTTTTACATCATGCAGATAAATAAGGCTTGATTACCACAATTATTAACACCGGACACCAGACACTACAGAGACTCTCTTTAAAAACCACAGTCAGGCTTCACAGAAAAAGCATTATATTTTAAGGGAAAATAGACCGGGGCAAACTCTTTCCAGTATTTTACAAACATTATTCACTCAGTACAGTGCCCTAAATTAGGTTAAAGAAAAGGTGCAGAGCCTGTCGTAACTGTCAAAATGGTTTTCAATATTGAGGAGCCATTGCCAATGGTGTAGACATTTTTTTCATTACTTCTCTTGCCACAAGTGGATTATTTGTGGGGGTTGTAATACATACACACGTTTTTTAAAAAATACAAAAACAGTTATCGTAAGAAAATAAAACTACTGATGAGTGGCATCACGGCAGCAGAAATAGGTAAGCCCAAGTCTTTCCATAGTCTTTCCCCCGTGGAAGCAAGCCCAGTTGAGGGACTAGTATCAAGAGAAATGCCGCCCTCTGACCTGCCCCCAATCTGCTGTGGAAAGTTTAGGAGTTCCCTTACAAGTATTTCAGCTTTGGGTCCTCTGACATCTCCTCCAGCAGGTTCAGGCCTAGACTGTGCTGATACTTCCACAGCGGTGAGGCGCCCCCGCAGCTCAGTAGGTGCAGGAGGAAGAGGAGGCACAACCGGAAGTGCGCCGGCCCTAAATCGGCTTCCGGCCATGCGGACTGCTGCCTGAGGAAAAGCAAAACCAAGTAGGCCTCAAGGGAACAGACAGCGGGAGAGCATAACAGGAAGCGTTCCAGGAAGACTGCGGGGGTGGGGGAGTGGGAAGGCCGGCCACAGGCCAAGAAGCTTTGCTGAAACCGAAGATGAAGTGCCATGAACGCGCTCCTCAAGCTGCTATTGCAAGAGAAGATGGAATGAGGAAGGACTGGGATTTATAGTTGAGGAAAGCGAAGCACAGAGGATTGTTACAAAACGAGGGACAAAGGTGAAAAGCACTAAGACATGAGGGGGCTAAGAATGAAAAAAATGATTTAAAAAATCGGAGATGTTTAATTCATACTGTGGTTATTGCTTGTATCACCAGAGGGAGCGTTTGGCATCTTAAAGGCCCAAAAAGGGTCCTTTAAAAGTGTTACGCAGCCATTAATTGCTCTTAGGTCACAAATTTCCCTTGTTCTTTTATCCAAGTTTACCAGGCTTTCTAAAATACATTGTCTAGAGGAAGCAGATTAAAAGTTATTTTTAATATTTTTAGACTACACCAAGAAATAACTAATGATACAAGTAAATCACACTTCAAAGCACTAGAAGTCTTTTTTTCTTAATTTTTTAGTGTTCATTTTTAAGATTTAAAAGGGAAGACACAATGAGGGGGAATAAGTGAATCACTGGAGATAGCTGATAAATCCATCTTCCATGACTCTGCAGTCTCTGAAACATTTCCATGAATGGGCAAGAAACATTTTTAAGATTTAAAAGGGAAGACACAATGAGGGGGAATAAGTGAATCACTGGAGATAGCTGATAATCCATCTTCCATGACTCTGCAGTCTCTGAAACATTTCCATGAATGGGCAAGAAACAGCCCAGTGCACTGTACACCTGTTATTTGTAAACTCTCAAGACATGATTAATGTTTTCTTCACGATGTTTTACTGAACTTTATTTATTTTTCCTGATAGTTCTGCCAACTTTGGGATCTGTAATTTTTGCTATGAGAATGCACCACTTTTTCTTCCTGAGTAAAAATCGACAAATAAGCCAGATGTGGTGGATCACACCTGTAATCCCAGCAGTTGGGAGGCTGAGGTAGGAGGATCAATCACCATGAGTTCAAGGCCAACCTAAAGTACACAGCAAGACCTTGTCTTTTAAAAAAAAATCAAATGAAAAAATTTTAGCTCCAGGTTTCTAAAAAAAATTGGAAACCTTATGCATGCTTGGAAGGAATGAAAAATGGTGTAACTACTATGAAAAAGCAGTATGGTACGCCTTCAAAAATAATTCTACTTTTGGATATACATCCAAAAGAAATGAAAGGATCTGCAAGAGACATTTGTAGCACTTGTACATCCATGTTCATACCAGCATTATCCACAAAAGCAAGGATGTGGAAGCAATCCAAATACCCATCTACAGGTGAATGGGCAAATACAATGGAGTCTTTATTGCTCAGCCTTAAAAAGGAAGGAAATGCTGACACATACCACAATATGGATGAACTGAGGACAGTGAGATAACTAAACTTAGTAACAAAAAGACAAATATGTATGATTTCACTTATTTGAAATATCTGAAGTTCTCAAATCATAGAAACACATAGTAAAATTCAGGCTGTTTAATTTGAAAAGCTTTTGTTTTGCAAGATGAAAAAAGTCTGGATATCTGTTGCATATTTAACACTACTGTATACTTAAAATGCTTGAAAACCATAACTTTTATTTGTTTTTTACCACTTTTTTAATTTACAAAAACAAACAGGCAATTAGTAGAAGAAAAGTGAATCGGAAACTAAAAACTTTTTCTGTTTTTAGAAAAATGGACATTCAGGATGTCAAGATTTTCCTATATAATATTCTGTTTTTGAGATGTTCACAGCAAAGTCAGCCTATTTAAGCTCCTAGAGGATGCCACAAGGTTTCTTGTAAACCATGAATAATTCCCTCCAGAACATCATGCAACCCTGAGAAAGAATTCTCAGAGGAAAAGAATTTGCTTTATGAAACAACAAAAATTGCATTTTTACTTCTTGAAAACTGTCCACTGATGACTCTTCCAACTCAACTAAGATCGTCCAAGAAACACGGAGGAAAGAATGTATCCTTTCCTTTTGACTTTGATTAGAAATTTGGTAGCAGCTCCTGTTAACTTAGTACACAAACTAAGAACCAATTGCCACTAGTCCATGTATCAGTATATTTGACTCTGTGAACATTTAAAATAAGATCACATCTCCCTGTTTCTAGATCCAGATACCATAAAAACTTGATGACATAAATTGTGGCACATGCAGCTTATGAAATTGATTAAGGTAGGGTAGTATATTTTATCTGTACTTGAAATGTCTCTCCCCTCTCACCTTCATGTTAGATTTACAGAAGTAAATTTAATTCTCAAATCCCTCTGCATAAAGGCAGATGTGCTTCAGCGAGTGTTTCCTCAACCAAATCACATAAAGGTTTCAGGTAAATGGTGCTTTTGGCTGCTATTGTTTTCCTTACCCTTTGCAATAATGACCATCAACTTCCTGATTCCCCTTACTGTAGTTTCTTTCACTGCACAGGAAGGACAAAAGGGGAAAATCCACTTAGTTATATTCTGTATCTGATAAAGGTTATAATGACCATCCTAAGACTTGGAAAGAAAACAAAGAACAAGACAAGCAGTTGGCCCAATACCTTGACTATTTATAAAACCATGCTGATTAACTGTTATTTTACCAAAAGCCACCAGATTATCAGTGAGGGAAGAGGAAGATGGAATGAACAAGAAATAATAAATAACCACTATTATTCTCTAACCAAATTTGCATGAAATATAACACAATTCCTAAGTAAAAACAACATAGTTGTTAAAAACATTTCCAACAAGAGTTCAATACAAAACTCATCTGAAGTAAACTTGTTTTCCCAATGTCAGGCTCTGATAAGATCAATTTTAATGTTTTGACTTCTAATCCTGACAACTCTAGGTCAAATTGCTACACTATCGTGAAAAGGAAATATAAACAAAGGTTCATTATTTATTCAGTTACATTTCAGAAATATTTATTAAGTGCCCATGAGTAATGGCCTCTGTTAGTACAAAATCCAATCCTCTGAATTCAACATAATGAATTCTTTTAAAAACAAAAACACAATCAAATCCTAACTGTACGGAAGAATACAACGGCATCAGCAAGCTGTGGCCCTGGAGATACTCTAGCCCTACAGAGCAGGGCAGGGAAACGGGGTGACACCTGATGAAAACACTCATGTCCTAAATATGGTTTTGTTTTTTGGTACCGGGGATTGAACTTGGGTCCTTGCGCTTGCAAGACAGGCCACTGAACCGCTGAGCTAAATATGTTAAGAAATATGATAATGCCAACCTGTCCTGCATAGAAGGGTTTTGCTCAGACTACAAAATCCTATCCGAAAGCTAACACGGACAAGCCAGAGAGCCAAAGAAGAACAATCAGGTCAGTAAAGGAAACGGAAACAATGACATAAAAATGGTTTAAGAATGGATAGTTAGTCTGAAAAGGGGAGGGCGGGGCTTAAGAGAAATTTGACAGCGCCTCTCAAATATTTTTAGAGCTGCCCTGTAGATTAATGATGTAGTTATCCAACAAGGCAGAAATAGTACCAAGTATGGAAGTCACAGGAAAGTCCTAGGAATATATAACCATTACAACTGCCCACGATAAAATGGACTCCTGGGCCAGGAATTTAGCTCAGTGGCAGCACGCCTGCTTCGTAAGGGCAAGGTCCCGAGTTTGATCCACAGTACCACAAAAAACGACAACAAAATACTAAAATGGACTCCTTTGGGAAACAGAAGGCTACTGATACCAGGAAAGAGTTAGAGGTTAAGTAAAGAAAGAAGATCTAAGAGAGATCTACTGAAGTAGTTTATTCTAAGAAAAGATAATTTATCTTCAAAACAGCAAAGGGCTGATTACTGGAAATCATTAAATCCCAAGAATAAAGGAAATGTCCGAAATTTATTGCTCTCCTTGATTTTGCCCATATTCCCCCCAGTTTTTCATATCTAAAATCGATGTATTGCTGATTTCAATAATCTATCAAAATTTCTTTTTCTTGATGCTTCAAGATTATTCTTGAAGTAGAGTCTTCCCTAACTCCTCACTCATACATCCATACACACTATCTCCACTGGCTGCTGTGGCTCTTCTGGAAGCTACTGTTGTTTGTTTGTTTATAGTACTGGGGATTGAACCCAAGGCCTCAGTAATCTATACCCCCCCCAGCTCTTTCCCCCCACCCCCTTGAACTTAGAGACAGAGTCTCACTAAGCCACTAAGTTGCCCAGGCTTGGTTCAAACTTGCAATCCTTCTGCCTCAGCCTCCCTCAGTGCTGTCTGATCATGTCAGGTGTGTGCTATGGTACCCAATGTAAGCTCCCAGTTTTTTTCGTATATAATATCATCAACACAGTACACACACAGCCGCCAAAGAGCTATATAAGAACAAAATTCTAAATGACAGCAAAGGGCTTTAAGCAACTATCATGGATCATAAAATTCCGTGGATTACAAAAATCCATGATTTGTTAAAGGGAATTAATTGGCTGGGTGTGCTGACCTACACATATAATCCCAGCACTCATGAGGCTGAGGCAGAAGAATCACTGGACATTCAAGTGGGGGGCAGATACAGAGAATGATAATGAATGAATTAGCTGAATCAGAGCAATATGTGGAGAGAGAGAGAGAGGGAGGGGAAGAGGGAGGGGAGGGAGGGAGAATGAGAATGAATTAATTGAATCAGGGCAATAGGTGACTAGATGGGTCTCTAGAGGGCATCTATTCTAGCTCAGCACCTCCATAAGTAGTAATATTTTGGATCAGATAGATAGGTCTTCTTAGGAAGTTCATTCCTCAGAAACGTTTTAAGAGCTTTTTCATTTTACATTTTTACCCTAGCATGTGTTACAAAATCCCTGAGGACAATGGATGTCTTTTCTTTCTTTCCCTATGCCAAGAAAGCCTTTAGTTGCTGGTTAAA